CTGACCTAGTTAACAAAACTCCAGCAAGACTAAAACTTTGCTGTGTTTTATAGATGAGGAAAGCAGGGCCATGCGCCGAACATCTTCAAAGCGCCAAACTTGAACTCCCATCTAGACATTATTAGTCCTCCCGAGCACTGGTACTAGGACATTTCGACAAAAAACTGAACCGAACGTCATAATTGAATATTTATTAAAGTGATATGCACAAAAAACGGCATTCTCATTATGGCACATTCGATAAACTGAAGTGATCTCTGGAAAGAATCTTCAAAACAACACCGGTATCAGATTGACATGAATTATGGCAGTGTACATATAGAGAAGATACAGGATACATTTGAAAAGTAAGCCCATCCAAGTGTGCTTTTAATTGGCTCTAAAAAATCCGCAGAAGTGACAACAACAAAATAACGAGTGTATAAAGTAATCGGAATCGGCGAGCAGATGAGGGCTCGTCAAGAGTTGACTGAGGACCGAGGCGAATGATACGAGGAGAACTGAGGGGACCCAAACCACCTGCATTATAGCCAGCAACCTGTAGACACTAGTTAGCTTCGATGCTATGCAAGGTAGAATAAGAGAATTTTCAATGGTTTTAACAATTTATACCTGGATTGTATACATGTACATAAGTCGTAGGCCATCTAGACGAGCACTTGGCTTGTCTGGATTTGAGAGTCTGTTGATGGGCATTGTCAATATGACAGCTTCCGAAGCTGTTTCCGACACGTAAACAAAAATCTAAAAATAAGGAAAATATTAAGTCACAACAACTCTAAAAGCTAACACATAATGTAGGTATGATTACTGACCTTGTAACCTATAGCCGTGTCGGTAACGTTTGATTGTGGGAATTCTATGGCTGACCACTCAATGACAGTCGTATATCCTACGTCATTCTCCTACAAGTTTAGAAATAGATGGAAAAAGGAAAAAAGATCTGTTTCACCTACCACTGTTCTCAACGATAATTTATTAATGGTAGGTGCATTGGAAGGTGGTCTTTGTTTTGTAATTACTTCTACAGACG